TTCCCTCCAGTAGCACATTTTAAGGGAATCCAATTATCCCGAAATAGTTCCAATTGTGTTAATTACACAAGATTAAATGATCTGCATTGGCTAGGCGATTAGACTGGGGTTGAGATCAAGGCCTGTCGGCCTGTTCACCTGTCCCAGATAGCCTGATTTTAGATTACCGATAATGAACAAATTTCCTGCCCTTTGTGGACAGGTGAATAAAGATATCGAGTTACTACTAACTGACCGAATGGAGTAGTCCCATATTGCTATTGCTTTCAGATTTTAAAGACTTATGAAATATATGAAATGATACTTAGCCAAGCATTAACATTTTATTTTAAATTATATGTTGTAATTTATCTTGCATCATCAATTAATTTAATTTAATTCTCAAACAAGTCCAATCAATGGACAGGCAACTTTAACTTTTAATTTCAAACACTGTTAGGTTTTGTACATGGGTGTTGATTTGAGTAATGCATGCAGTGCATGTTTATTCTGATTTGACATAATATTTACCATGCTGTTTATTTGCTGTCATTTACTTTTAATTTCAATATCAGTAGCTACTATGATGTTTCCCAATTATTTCTCAGTATCTTATGGGTTTTTTATCAAATTATAAATCCTAGAGGAATCTATTTGCTCTAGATACATATTACAGAAAACAAAATGGACGTTACCATTTATTAAATCATGCATTTTTATAGAATGTAATTATAGACTCCTGCAGCCTATGAAAAGTTATTGGATAGCAATATTTTACCAGGGGTTTTTCTAGTAAAAAAACTGCAAGAGGGAGCACTGCAATTCAGTGGCGCCACCAAGTGGGGGAGATAGGGTTCTCCCTACCAGGGTGTGTAGTTTTTGCTAATTCTAAGTTAAAATGGAGCATTCTGTGGCTTCCTTAGGGCCAAAATTACTATCAGACAGGTCACAATTGAAGACTGTGGCTTCATGTGATCCCTGGTCATTCAGAATTTTATGGTTGTCAGAGGATCTGCTCCCCAGGGTAAGGGGATGCATGGCCATGGCATGAGGGTGCTGCACCCTGTTCCCTTGTTTAAAAATATCCCTGTTATAGACATTACTTTGCACAAACCTAACAATAAATAAGACTTATTCTATACTGCCATATGAAAATACACCAGCCTCTCTTACCTCGAGTGTTGCTTTCTGGGATGCCGGCCTTTGAAGGCGATCTAGCCATAGTAGTTTTCAGAAGAGATCTGGTGGGTGTGCTCGGTGACGGTGGGTAGACCTGGTCATCTAGTAGCGGTCTACTATTTGGATAGTCTCGATAGGAATCTTCGTTATCCCGTACAGCCGGTGATCTACTATAGCCTTCGTAAAGGTGAGAGTACGAGGGTCTGTATGGAGATTGCGTACTGCTGAGGTAGGGTGATCTGGCAGGCTGAAAAATAAAAAGACTTGCTACTGTAACATTGTTTTTCATTCTGTACTTATTATTACAATAAAAGATTTTTAAAAATAATAAGAACAATGCAAAATACTTTATATACAATACCCAAAAATGTCGAAAAAAACTAGGTATGATTGAAAAGCAAGAAACAGAATGTTTTTTAAATTTTCCAGATAACATGTAGTTCATAGCTTCTTTAAAGTCGCACTCATTCATTTAGTGATTGTTCAACAAGCGTTAACAAAAGGACTACAACTGGCTCGTGGTACACAACTGAGATAACAGATTCTGTTAATTACCAATCGAGAATACGGACTACAGTAAAATACTATATTTCAGTGGAAATAAAAATCCAGCGAATACACCCTTTTTTTATATACTAGTATTTTACATTTAACTTGTTAAAAAATCAGTAAAAATAAATGCCATACAAAATACCCAAAAAGAATTTTCAGCAAAAATTAATTCAAGCAAAAATAATTATTTTACAGTAATTCAACAGACTGCTGCCAAGTTTATTGTGCCTGTGTCCAATTGAGTCAGAAGATGGATGCATACAAAATGTACATGTACATGTATATATATCCTACAGCAAGTCATGCATAAACGTATCCCTGTAGGGTATATACCTAAACACAGCAAACAGCACAAATAGAAAGTTTGGCAAATTACCAAGAAGCTCAATTCTTAAACTTTACATTGTTTTAGGAATATTTTCTCAGGAGAGCGGGGAAAAAGCTTTAGACATATCCAAGCAAGTCAATGTCCTCAGTTTAAAAACAGCTGAGGTTTCACTGCTAGGAAATTCTAAATTTTTTTAAATCAGTAAGATTGTCTGGCAAAATTAGATCGAATTACAGAACTAACACTTAGCGGTGAGGTATGCATGAAGTGCATGATTCACTGAATGTTCAAATTATACATTTTTTTAGCAAATCTGGTACCCTGTTAGGCAGAAAATGACATGAAAACTATAAATTCCTGCAATATAACATATCCTAAATTCAGTTTTTTTATTACTATTTATTGCTTGCACTGACAAGCACTAGAAAATGGAAAGGATAAAGATTTCGTTCCATTTTCACATCATGGCTAGTACACACAGGTACTACCGGTATTAACTGAAAAGTATGTGCTTTGGTCAGTTTTTTTCTTTCAGTTTCAGCGTAAATATTGTATGATGCAGTACTGTTAGTCTACACTTAGTCTAAGATTATACTTAACAACTATCGGTATATGAGATATATCTGTAAAGTTCCATTCTAAGGACGCACAAAAATGCATAAATTGAGAGACATATTTAAAGATGTGCCTCTGGTTCTGAATTACTGGAGGTCACAGTAATTTAGAACAGAACAGAACAGAGCAGAATCCTTGAAAACCAAGGGTGAATTTCAAGTGAAATTCAAACAAACTAATGAAAAACCGAAATGATCACCAAAATTCAGAAGCACTGAAAATTCAGACCAAATATGCCTCATCCTATTCCCATGGGTGTAATCCCACATCACCTCAACAAATCACATTATTACGCAGAAAAGGAAAGACTAGTTTAGGATTACTCTGTTAAAATTACGATAATATATTTAGACGATTATTCGTCATGGAAACTTTCAAGAGTTCCCAGTCAACTTCGGCATCTGACAGTTACAGCACGTCATGACATGAACGGACTGGAATGCTTCAACGTACACGAACCAATTGTTTACAATTCATTGGAAAATAATATCTAGCATTTAAACCATTGATCACTGTAAATATCCTTCCCTGGCAAGTCTATTTAGTGCTAAGGAACCGGGCATGTTTCAATGGAAAAGAAAGTCCATTTTCATGCACCGTGTCATATTAATATTATATACACGAGAAACGAAACATGTTGTGCTCCGCGTCAACCAACCGCCTAAACTTCGCTAGCAGTGAAACGATTAAATCCCAGACGACTCTGGTCAAACTAAATTGAATGTTGCCAGGTGATCTGCCAGGATTAAACTAAGATACAACTCCATATACAATCGAAAGCACTGACACCTAACTGGATGGTACGGTTGATTTCCAAAGAACAGTTAGATTGGAACACAAGTTTTTACTCGATCCCAGTGTGATACACGACACTGTCGATCTACTATACCCCCAGAAATGGTTCCACGGTTCGCGATCTGGTCGTATATACTTACCGAATACCTGGTATCCATGATTTTTTCTGTCTTTTACACAATCTTTATCGGTGACAGGTTATTTTTCTCTAAAACCGTGGAATTTTTGCAGCGATTTCCGATGTAGAGCATCCACTTTGAACGTTCAAAAGATTATAGTAACAGCTGTCATCCGGGGACTCTTCGAAGGTCAGGTCATGTAAACTCACTTCTGATTGGTTCAGTTTGTTACTGTTTCAAACTTCACTTGTGATTGGTTGCAGTAAGTGGGCGGGGTAGTTGGCGCAAAACATGAAAAAAATAGCTGGAAAGGTCGACTGAACAGGTCTACTATAAACAACGTACCAAATTTCCATTAATGTGAACGAAAAAGCAACCCAACTAGCAGTATGGCACAAACAGAGTAGCAATATCGATATCAGTTTAGCGTTACAAATTTCAACTATCAAAATTGCTATTTTGTTTGAAAAACAATGAGCTATATTTGCATACTGCTGGCTTGGTTACTTTTTCGTTGACAGTTATTAAGTGCAGCTGCAATGCTGGAAGCAAAGAGTGCTCGGAATAAAACAAACATGTTTTGTTTGATTTTAATTACATTAAAGTCGTCCTTTATTTGCTCAGAAACTTACTGAGAATTGAAAACTTTTTGCATCGTAATAAAATCATATATCTAACCTCAGACCACTGAAGATTTTTTAGTGGTCTGATATTTAACATTTTACTCTTACGATGACGACACACACGATAATGCTGAAAAACAGCAATCATTTTTACCTTTTTTCATCCAGTTTTTTAATGATTATATGACATTTTGGATAAATTGAGATTGAAATCAACGATCTTTTCCGCCGTACTGCCTATCAACTTGAACAGTGATATGTTTGCGACTAAAGTAACACTAATATGACTATGAGCTCTGATATTGACATACAAAAATACATTTGGAATAGCTCATCTAAAGTTTATTTCATTACACAGCTTAACTCCGAAGAGTCACCTGATAAAATGACAGCTTTTCTGCTTAAAAACATTTTAGATTAGAATAATGAACAAAGGCGGCGACACAACATTTTACATGGAGGGGCGAAAACTGTTCACCAACCTCGCGCCCGAGGCGCGACCTTACTAGGGAGTCCGGGGCATGCTCCCCCTTAACAGTTTTGAATTTTTCAGCATTTTGAGGGTCACATTTTGCTGACACAGAGGGTTTCAGCTTCATTTTGAAGGGACGACGCCCCAACATTTTTTTCGAGGGGGCGACCGCCCCTCTGCCGCCGCCACTGATGAAGCTATCTCAGCATTTAATGACATTATGTATAGCGCAACTGATAAAGCTGTGAAATTTGTTGAAATTAAGGCTAGGGAAACAAATCAAAGCGGTAAAAGTAAAAAACAGAAATGGTTTAACGGTGAGTTAGAGAAAGCACGTAAAGGCCTAAAAGATATTTCTAAACAACCTGACAAATTTTCATTTGATCAAAACTTGTGAATGCTGAGAAAGAACTTGAACAAATACTACAAAAAAACTTGTTAAATTTAAGAAAAATGAATTCAATGACAAGTCGATGCTACTTCAATAAAAATCCAAAAGATTTTTGGGAGGCTATTAAAAATATTAAAGAGTTCAATAGCGCTAATAGCACTAATCATTTACCCCCAATTCAAACTACTGACTGGACTGACTAGTTGTCAGCACTGTTAAAGATTAAATTGCAGTCATTAAATTTTAATTCAGTTTTGAATTGTTCTGAATATGGTTCAAATTCAAAATTTTGTTCTGACTTGTTATACGGGGTATAGTACGCAGCTTAATCTTTTCTGGTTTAAATACCGTTGACAAACAGACTTTATTATAGTTGTTTGAATTTGGTTTTGAATTCTGTAGTGTTAGATTCATCACTAATTTTAGTTAATGTGAATAATCTTTTAACAAATGCTGCCCAAGAATCACCATTCATTTTATTGTCAGTATTGAAAGCACAGTCCAGAAGATGATTATTTTAAATTGATTTTTGTCTTTCATAATACTTCAACGTTTGTGAACTTATGTCAATAATTAGAGGATAGCTATCAAGTTCAGCTCTAGTTGCTGCATTGCTGGCCTTATTATTAACCCCTAAAATATGTTTGCAAAGTTTAATGTCGAGTTGTTCAAAGTAACATTGTCTTTCTTATTTTTTGTTTTAAGAAGTTTGAAAGTAAAAGCCCCCCCCCCCCATATCTCAGATCCATAAAATAGGATTGTACTGCGATATAACTGAATAGCATTTTTTGGCGAAACTATACAATGTATAGGCTATGTGTTTGTTTTAATGCACCTATTGCACGCATTACTTTCTTTACTAGATTATCGATAGCAATTGTAAAATTACCACTACTTTGAAAAGTTATACCTAAGTAGGTATATGTTGGGACGACTTTTACCTGTTGGTCTCCTAAGTAAAATTTGCCATCGATCTTTCTTCCCCTGTTATTAGAAATAATAATTTTACTCCATTTGACTCAGTAGCTTTTAAACAAATTAAGACTATCTTGTAGTCCTGTACTTTTGTTTGAACAAATGGCAATGTCATCTGCAAAAAGTATGCAAATAATATTGGTGCAGGTTCTGTTTTTTAAGACTGTCAGATAGGTCATTGATGTAGATGTTAAATAATAATAATGGGTCAGCTTCACTTAGTTTCGCATTTCTTCTCACTCGTTGCCAATTGAAAAACTAAACAAAACACCTCCAGAGCAAAGCTGAGGTATTGTTCTCTATGTAATGAACAAACTATTGGGGATGAATTTCGCGTATTACTAGCATGTAAAAATAGTCAGATTGTACAAGCTCGTACTAAATTTGAAGCTGAATTAGCAATTTATGATGACAACATTTGCAAGTTATCAACTCATGAGAAATTCAAGTGCTTGCTAGGCACTAAAGATAGCTTCATTGTCAATAGCTTGGGAAAATTTATTGATTTTATTTCTAAGCTTTAGTTTAGTCTATGTTTTTGTTTGTTTTTTTGACCATTGATTTATTGTATGCTTTTTTATTCATACTAACTTTTGTGTCAAATAAAATATCTATCTATCTATGACAAGCACTATTATCTATAATATATCACAGTCACTCTAGTAGGAGAGTGACTGTGAGTATATACAGATTCAACATTTCAATGCCTTCTTTCGTCTTGGAAATCAATTTTTTTTATTTAAAAGAAATACAATGTATAATACTTTTACTCAGCCAAAATAATTATTGTGCTACCAAATTTATACATACATTGTTCTAAATTTCGGATTGTACAGGCAGAATCACAAATGTCGCTGGTTGTTTGAAGCACTAGCTTTTGTCGCTATGACGTGACAATATCCACCAGCCTGAGGCCTTTTTACCCTTTGCAATATCATTTCGTGCCAAAATAGTCATTTTGGTTCAGTATTATATAAAATCAGAAATATGAACTCAGACTAATTTGTTGGTTTTCTGTCCGAGCTTTCATATGATGTAAACAATGTCAAAAGAAATATTGATATCAGATGAAACCGAGTTCAAACTAGAATATGATAGCACGCCCTCTATCGGTTTCATGAGTTCACAGCCGGTTGCGGGTGCCCACAAGTCTTACAACGAGTAACCACTCGTGGTTCGACAAATCAGAAATATCTTATAACAAAATCTAAAATGCATATTTTCTGAGAACAATCAACATGTCAAAAATGTTCTTTTACACAAGAGGGGCTCAAATTTTCTGAGCCGATGTGAAATATGAACTGTGATCAGGTTACCTACCTACCCACCTACCTACCTACCTAATCATGGACCTATAACAGGTTAAAAAGAATTACAAATTTGAAAACTATCTTAAATTTATTGTAAACTATAAAATTCGATCAGCAATAACGAAATTAAGGATATCAAGTCACAGTGTACCAATAGAGCAAGGGCGCTACAAAAACATTCCACAAACTGAGTGAATATGCAAATTGTGTGATGTGTCATGAATTTGTTTTTGCGTATCTGTTGACCGACTTAATTAGCTGATTATTAGCTGAATTGCTGTGTTATGTCTGTCATCGTTCAGGTCTATTTGAAGTTTTGGACGGAACTTGGCTCAGTGATTTGGAACTAATTACCAGATATCCGTCGCGATTCTGACATCCGTAGTTATTAATGTAGTGAACGATTAATCAAAAGATATGACGTATTCAGTACTTAGTTTGATTGGCTTTATGATTGAAGTTTACGCCTTAGAGTCTTTTTACTGCTTTGTAATTGGTTAGAGTTTTGAAAATGAATAAAGAGAGTTTGAGTTGGTCTTGGCGAATACTCCACGATAGACGCAGAAGAGAGAGAGTGCAGTCCTGGGCAGTCGAGTCCAGTCTAAGAGAGTCTTGGGGCGAGCCTTGACGCAGTCCAGTCTTGGGCTAGTCTTGGGTCAGCCTTGCGAGAGTCTTGGGGACTTTTCCCCAGGGCGCTGTGTCTTATAGAGTGCTCCAAAAGATCGACTAAGACGAGAGCTGAAACGTATTTCGTTGTGTGTGCCTTATTTGACTGTAAAGTATAAGTGACTTTCCCGATCCCGTACCTCAAGGGGACGAGATAGAGAGACGAGACGAGTTCCCCCCTGACAAGTGTGGAGACCCCGAGAGAAGAGAAGATTACCCCGTGATAGATGCATCAGAAATTGGTGACGAAAAGCATTACATAATGTATTGCAATAATGCTAATATTGTCTCATATAGAGTACATATATTTGACAAAATTAGCTTTCCAGAGTTTGAAAAACTTAATGAAGAATGTAAGTTCATATATATATTAAGTGCTTTAGACACTTATTCTGTTATATCTTTTGCCAAATGTGTATATTCTATTTTTGAAAGTAGTTGATAGTTATAGTTCTGTTTAGTGACCATACTGCTGTATGAACCATATATAGTATTGTGTCAATAAATTATTATTATATAATATAATTATAGCTGATCCCAAACTCCGTGAGTAACCGTCTCTAAAATCATGGTCACTACACGTGTCAGTTAAGATAGAACGCTACTCAAAAGTAAAAAAATAATCATGTGATTTACATACGTGTTTTTTTATGTTACAAGGATGATGAAAATGAAAACTTGTATGGGTCACCGTAGTCGGTTCGTTTTAAGGTACTAGTATTTCACCATTGCTATCTATGGTACGAATGATTGAATATCTAAACAAAATAGTCGTAGAGATATGGTGAAACAAATTTAATAATGTTTGAGGGTCGGAAAGGGGTATTTTCGTAAGCTGTAATCAATTGTTTTTTATTTTCATAAAAATGTAATTTAAATAAATAAAAAAAACGTAAATTCGTAGACATGGGCAATATGTAAAATGTAATCAGCTATTTTATTCGTCCGTAATTTGTGAAAAGATCTTATCTTTTGTAAGCGTATGAAGCATTTTCCAAATTAAATATTATAATTCATACGCAATTTCCAATTTTGATTCTTAAACACAAATTATCAAAAATATTATAAAAATGTAAATCTGTAAATTGTAAAAATTATTTTTTACTGTAAATGGAACTTTCATTTTATTTCCTGTAAAAACGTAAAATGATGTTTTTATTTCCTGTACCAGCTACCCCCTTGCCCTAGTGTATTACAATGCAATTTTTCATGTCTAAAAATTGACCTTGTTTTTGAATAAGCGTGATGGTGGCCTCCTTCAGTACTGTTGGCAAATTTATAATTACCGTCACAGACCACTTTGCCAGAGTCTGATAGTTACCAGAGTTTCCTTCAGGATAGCAAAGAATTAGAGCCTTACAATCTTTCCAAGTCTTACTAGTACTTGCCAGGTAGATATGCTGTGCACAAACAAAGCAATTTAGACACTCAGCAGAAAATGCGACTTAGTAAAGGAATGATGATTGTGATTCGTTCCTCGCTGAATAATTTTTAGCTCTGAAGATCGGAACCTATTGACCTTAAATTTTTGGTCAATAAGCATAGCCTGGATTCCAACGCATCACCACCCAGAGACTAGCGCTTGTAAATGTACCACCCCTCAATACCATGTAACTATGGGTACAACTAAGCATTGTTCATATGGGTCTTTAAATTAGTTTAGTACAGACACAATACAATCTAGAACTGTGATAATACATTGATCAGTCATGAATGTATTTAACAGATGGACGTCAAATTACCAACATGTGTATATTTAGTCACACAAATAACATTTTGTATAAAGTTCCAGCATTATAGAAACATAAATTGAGAGAAAATAATTTTATATTCAGCAAGTTTAAATAATCGACTTGAGCTTAAACTATTAGTATTGATGGGCACCCGGCTTCATGGCCATAACTAACTACTAAATAAAACAGTCTTGGACTGATTAAAATTGTGGCCGCATAAAATGGAGGCAAAGCAAATTGTCTGCGATCTCTTGAGAATCGAGCCCAGTATACCTATATCTAATATATAAAACCGATGTTTTGTATTTCACAGGCATGTGCAGGAGTGTAGGCCACAACCATGTCCGCATAACCCGTGGCCATAACCCCATTTAAATATTTCATTTATTTTCATGCTTATGACAATGCGCATTTACACTAATTGTGCAAGCCACTACCAACCTAAAAACTTGCTAGATGAATGTATTCAATATATAAAAAAATTATGGAAATAAGCTAATTGACACAACACAGAAAAGAATTCATAACCAATATGTCAGTGTTTCAGTTCCCTCTACCCCAAGGGCCAGCTGAAGAACCTCAACCAGCAGAAGACACCAGGGTTGGTGTAAGCTTTATTGTCCTGACAACTGTCTACTTTTTTTCGGCCTCATTTCCCTTAGAAATGTCCTTGAATATTCGCCCTGCAAGCTTACTAGTTTTATTAGAATTCTGATATAACTCTGGCTTCGCACCTACAGAGGAGTGGTGACTGACCAAAGCTCCGATGATAAATCTTGGATGTCAGCGATACTGCCTGGTCTTCTGTTGAAAAGTTTGTCAGTCCAGAAGTTAGTCTTGGATAAGGTGGCGAGTATGGCTTAATTGAGCCATAGCCGCAATACACTGTGCTAGACTTTTGCACTAGGAAACACTGACCTTGGACAAACTATGCCTGCAAGGTGATGTGATGTTGGTGTAGATCAGGCAATGCAGTGTGGAGAGTGATAATCAAGGGTTGTCTGACTATTAGACAACTGGCGCTTTACTGGGCTATTTTATCTGTCCACAGAAAATTCACTTGCAAGACATCAAGAAACATATTGATATGGCTCAACACAGCTGACTCACCACACATGGCTTCACCCAATGAAGCAACCATAAATGTGTTCCAGGCCACTGCCATACAAAGAGAATGTAACAACGGTACTTTGATATCAGTAGATTTAACATTCAATATGGTTATAACACTGGTTCAAAACCAATAATACCTGGTACTCAAAACACTATCAGTTATATATATATATAAAACATATTTATTTCAAGTGCATAAACACATACACCAATTTCGTTCATAAAAAGAAATAATAGTCATGCATATTTCTAAATTCCCAAGTATAAAGAATGTTTAGAGTTTGCAAGTGTTTCACTTTTTTTAAAGAAATATAATACATCCGTTTTTTTTTTATTGATCAACATGCACCGATTGATCACAAGGAGATAGGGGGGATATCATTAGTTTACATTAATAGCTAACAGTTGTCAGAGTGTTTAGAGTGACATGCATTTGTCTGAACTCCAAACAAGTCTTCTGTAGAAAGTTGATGATATAAAAGCAGAACTGATAAGTTATAGCAACTTTCACGGCATGTACATGTATTATATCTTGTGTACAGTTGGGTATATTTTGTTAGAACAAGTGAGAAACCAGTGGCAGTGAATATTCAAATCAGTACTCTCCAAAAACAGGCTTGATTCAAGTTGCTCAATACCCATATTTTTTTTTTATTCTGTTCAACTGAATATCATGATAACCACAGGAATTGTCCTTTCTCAGCTAGTTCAGTGGGATGATAGGAATACTGGCTGAATATTTAAGTGGTGTTTCCAGTCCTTGTCTGCAATTTGATTATACGAAAGTTGCCATGAACTTTTTTTCATCAGAAATTCTTCTAAACTGCTTATCCCAACAAATATAACAAAGAAATTAAAACATCCAGCAGCTGTGAAGAAGACGATGACAATAAAAGCAGAAGTGTCAATGGGGGAACTAAAAACAGATGGACTGATTCAATATAACAGAATTTCAACATCACATAAACAGTTGACAATGAAGTGAAAGCAAAGGCAGAACTAATTCGAGTTTGAGGTAAAATAAAATTGAAAACAAATGGACAGGAGGTAAAGAATACAAATAGTGCCATCCAGTTTAAGCTTATTAATAATTTATAACAAAGTACACATAACAATTTTTTTGAAAATAACTTAACATCCACAAAAACATGGCTATAAAATCAAAAATACTTAAATAACCTAACACTACTTAACATTTCTGGAATGATATTCAAATACTGACCCCCCCCCTTTTTTTTTTCATAAGAAGACTTTAGTATAACCAAGCATAATTTAGTATAATACTAGTCAAGGTGGGTTAAACCATTATGGAGAATGGGGGACAACCAGATGACAAGGCAGGATGGTGAGTTCAGACGTTGTGGCCTTTGCTAGTACTGTATGATTTATAGCGGTTCTGAGAACAGTAGTGAAATGGTTTATGAGTTTTTGTCCAAACTAGACTTAACAACACCATTTCATTGACATGTGCATGGTTTAGTCATTCAGTTATGATACCAATATAAAACAAAGTTATTGAATACATATATTTCATGTTGATCATTCCACACATCATGCCATCAGTCAAACAAAGATGTCAAGTTTAGAACGAAACAACATAACAAGCCATCTTGCTAACTGACTGTTTGAATAATTTTCAGAACCACTGTAAGGCTCACCCCTAAAATAGTTAACTTTGTGGTAGTCTTTGGTGGGTGTGTACATGAGTACTTAAGGCTTGGTTTACATTGGACAGACTTGGCAGTTTGACCAAACATGTTTTTCATATTATAAGATCGGTATTATATTCCAAAATCTCATGTCAGAGCTTGCAAACAAACAAAGTACAAGAGTCCTAAAGTGAGTACAAAAAGTGAAGTGAATTAATCTCTTAACCCAGTCACAGATTTTCCAGTGCCTATGAATATATATCTACTGTATAACCATGAGTTAGTCTAATCGGCTTTGCACATAAATATACAGTCTTTGCAAAGCTAAAATATTGATGTAATGAGGTACATTTCACTGGTGAGCAACTGGTGGAGTCTGTCTTGGAACGCCATATGGCTGGCCTAGAAACTGATCAGCGATACGTCCAGCTTCTCGGAGTCCGCTGAGAAGGGCTCCATGGACAGTAGCTGGGTAATTCCTGATAGTGTGTTCGCCAGCAAAGAATACCCTGGGTAAGTTGTTTGCTTGAGGTAGTGCGCCAGGTATAACTGGTGCTGGTGTTACGGGTGTCGCTAACATATCGTAGTCGTTACCAGAGGACCCTGCTGCAACGTACGAGTAAGAACCACGTGACCATGGGTCAGCACGCCACCGAGTTACAACTGTTTCTCTTGGCTATGAAGTAAAAAGAAGTATTTGAGTATATTATCAACTAAAAGAAGGTTTGTGAAGAAATTGGAATATTTTCATAATAAGTATACAGTGCTAAACTGGTTACTGTTACTTGCAAAAATCAGACTGTAAGCTGAACTGGTGGCATACTTTCACATTATTAATAAAGCATCACAACTTACCACAGGTACAGCGCTGTTGCCAAAGATCCCCTTCAGAACTGCTAAGGTTCTTCCAACGATCACATCATCGCTCACATTCTCCATAATCTGGGCTGCTTCACCAGCCACCAAAGCTATGAGTACCGGTGCCCGGTACAGGTTCCAGAATAAAAACAATTCTCCTCGACTGGCGGTTGTGCTACCAACGTGACCGAACAAGTTGACACTGGAGTCCCAAAAGATTCTCTCAAAGCACAGGACAACCTAAAATTAAAATAAATTATTTTTATACCTCAAATTGTAATGCTATAAAGTAATACTCTATTGCCTTGGGTATATATGAACACCTCACATTAATAGGCAAAGTAAATGTGTGCACAAAGATAGAAAATCTTACCTTATTAAGATTGCCAAATCCTAATCTCTGCACAGCAGCCATTTTCCAGTCTGGTAGGGGTGGCACAAATGTAACGGCTGGTGGCGATTGTTTTAACACACCTAATGGTAACGTGACCAGGACTGCATCAGCTTTGTATGTGTAATTACCTCCCTGTCCCTTTGCGTTGGTTGTCACTACCTCTACACCTGAAAGAAGATGTACAATAAATCAAATGATCAGATGGTACCATGTGGCAAGTAAAGCTATGTTCATAGTGCAACACATTTTTACTGCCATTTCAATATGGTCACTGGCAATCTCCAGATACTTATAATTAGCTGAAAGTAATCTGTTATCAGCTATAAGAATGAAACAATCTCATCAATATTTATGAGTTTGGCATAATCTGGTCTGATATCTGTATCATTTCAACTCAAGGCCCCATTTCTTGTTTACTGAATCAAATTTTAATCGTATATACAATACTGTCCACATGATTTTTTAAAAATATTCTACACAATTAAAAATATTCCACTAACTACCAAAAAAACAAGTAAATGACATACCTGTATGACTATACCTGACCTGCCTCACAGCAGTATTCAGTTTGATGTCCAGATTTTCTGAAAGTGCCACAGGAACACATGAATATCCATTCCTGACTGTCAAATGGTGGCCTGAGAACTCAAAATCATCATCCTGGTCCCAGTGTTTCAGTGATAATGTGGAAAGAGGAGTGGCATTGGCAAATTCTAGGTTTGCAAAATGCCAATCTAAGATTTGTCTGTCGCGTGAAGAGAGATACACATCACTGTAAAGTAAAGAGAAAAAGTAATTACCATCTTTTTGAGCACTAGATATTTTTTCGGACTGAAATTCAGTGCAAATATTTTTACATTTTGTAAATTTGTTACTAAATTTCATATCATTTAGGACCATACAAATGGTTAAAGATATTGCTTTTAGTTTTTAATCAAAAGGTTTGCCAATTTTTAAAAAAACATTCAATGTGGGAAGAAGTAGACTGTACAAAAGCATTTTGTAGCATGGTGCCAAATATTGACAATGGTGCTCAAACGGTTAACATAGCTATATGATGGCAAATCAAATTACTATACTCTGAGCTCAAAATGCTCGTACATATATAAAACAGGTGTTAGAAGGCAGTGCACAAATTTTGCAGGTCAATTGTCAACAGTGGGGAAATAAGTGAAAAAATAAGGAAAAGCTTTTTTAGGTGGTGCATAAATTGGCCGATGGTAGTCGCATAGCGCATGTTCGAATTTCATGTAAACAAAGCATTTTACATGCGTTGTGTATGTTACTATAAGTCCTATATCGAACAGATCGCAGCACGGCGACCATTGTTTTTTAATTTGTGTTTTGATTTATTCATTAATTATGTTGTTTCAAAAAAGTTTAGCATGGAAAACTGAAATTGCTTTGGGAAGAATACTGAAGAATGACATATGAATATTGATCATGGCAGGAAACTGTACTGTTTAGGTTTCTGAGGGTTTATTAGTAATTTGACAGAAAACTAATATCTTGGGTTATTTAATGTGTTAAATATAGCGCCATTAGTTCACACAAACAGTCAGTCAACAACATTCGATAACACCATGACCACAGTGTTTGTGAGTTCTACTCAACGTAAATCATATTAACGTAGTAACCAACCACAAAATATTTAATTATTAAATGAAATATTTTTTACCTTGGAGGATTGGCTTCCATTTCTAGAATTTTCTCTTCAAGTTCTTTCTGCTTTTCTCTAAATTTCTCAAAATCCTTAATTTAAAAAAAAAGAAGTAGAAAATATTAGTCACTCAAGAACCGATTAATTAGTGTTCCAGTAAGTTGTCTGCCCCCTACGATATTGACATTATAACAGATTTTACTTCACATGTTATCAACAACACAAAGACTCAGATGTTGATGAATTAACTAGATAACAGCATTTGTTCTGAGCCTTTATTTGCACACAACACAACATACTTGACCTTACCAATTAGCTCAAAAACCTCACAAAGTTGCACAGTGACTTCACCAAGCCAATCAGTGACCTCACCAATTTGCATAGTGACCCTACAAATTTGCATACTGACCTTACTGACTAGCTCACCAAGCTGCGCAATGACTGCACTGAATTGCACAGTACATCTGCGCAACCTTTTCCTAAGGCTGTATATTACGACTTAAAAAAATATTTAACTTGAATTTCTTGAACTAAATAATAGTAGTAACTGTAGTGCTTGTAACATGTCACTGGTGAACTGATTGATATTTTGCTATCATTTTACTGCCAGTCGAGAGTCAGTTTATATCTCAAAGTCTCAATACCACTTCGGAATCACAAATGATTGTCCACTCTTCACATCATTTTTTTTTTCACCAATTGGAAACTGATTTTTTTCTGTATTTTTTTTTTTAATTTTTTATATTCATTTTGAACAAATCTTACAGATTGAGCTTTTTCTGACATATTCTGAATCCAGTGCAATCCCGGATACACATTGTAACATCAATAACTTTAATCAAGCTGTGCTGCTACCAGACAAAAGGCAGCATTCAAGCCTAAAGTAACACATGTATCACAGTATATAACAAATGACACTCATTCACTCAGACACATTATATCAGCTTGAAAGTCAAATGGCATAAAAGCCAGATAAAATTGGTTTAAATGTAAAAATGTTATCCTATGGTATTAATTATTTCGCTTGAAATTAATTTTCAGTGAAGGAATGATTCAGTGAAAATAAAATCCAGCGAATATACCTTTTTTCCCCACATTTTACATTCAACTTGTCAGAAATCAGTGAAAATAAATTCCATACAAAAAGTCTTTTCAGCGAAAACTAATTCCAGTTAAAATAAAGAATTTTACAGCGATAAGAATCAACAAATAAACAAAATATTTTACACATAACATAATGCACTTGTTTGATTATTGCATGCTTGGATGTTATATTACAATGTTTGTCGAGCAGTTTAACTAATTTTACGAAACCATTTTCAGATTCAACTCCATACTATACTTACTTTGCAAGCCTGCTGTAAATCATGGCTTTTACTTCTGACTACGAACTCTGCTGTGATATCTCTGGGTGGTTTTACCTCACAGGCTTCCTTGTACTGTTTATGCAACATCACAATCTTATCCTTCAAATTACCCATCTGGAAAAAAAAATAAACACATCAGTACAAAATAAATAATACAGTCATTATCAAACCAATGCAAAAAACAAATATAAAAAAACAATGACAATTTGACCTTGCAATTTTTTTTTTTAAATTTGTTGACAATAGTTGCGTTCACGCACAGCTCCTTAGCACGGGCTAAGAGATCAAATTCCTTAGCCCGTGCTAAGAAAACGTGCGTGAACGCTTAGCACGGGCTAAGGAATGCTAAGTACGGGTTAAATCTGACCCGAATTTAAGACGCGGTTTAGACCTTAGCACAGGCTAACGAAGTATGCGCGAACGCTTAGCCCAGGGCTAAGCGCCCTCTGCGGCGACCTTTGGGTGTAAAAATTGTCCCATGTTCGTATAACGACACTATTCCACCAGTCATTACTCCGCGCTCGCTTCCACACTAATCGGGTCTTTGTAGTAGAGCGTACAGCATGCAGCAGCTCCAATCGTAGACAAAATAAATTTGGTTCGCTGTCTATGACGTGCATTAATAAAACTCTGTATTCTGTTACGCCCGTTGTATACTGTTTATGTGCATCCAAATAAGTTGGGTCCGTCTCCTCTCGTGTTCCTGTGCACGTCGCTTCAAAATTAGAACGAAACCCGGGAACGAAACATGCCAGCAGCAGAAATAGAACCTCGCGCATGTCATCCATTTTTCGTTCGTAAATAGCGGCTTACCAAAGGTCACCGACTAATGGCACCCCTTAGCCCGTGCTAACGACTGGCCCTCCCTGTGCGTGGACGCAATTGGGTCTAGCCGAAATGCAAATAGGCTTGATAAGCCTAAATCAGCTTAAATCTTAGCCCGTACTTCGTGTAACGTGAACACAACGAATAACCCAAACGCATTTTATTTTCAAAGGGGCACTTCCAGTTAAGCCTAATCTCACAACAAATTTACTCTCTAGATTCAAATTACAATGGATAACAAAAGATAGATTAACATTGTAAACAACATAGACAATAGTGTCCCATGATTCTTTGGTGCAATCCCTGGGCTTGGAAGGTTCCCCTTTAACTTGATTAGAACGCTATTAAAATCAGTACAAGTCGACTTACTTTGTTCATATTGCTTTTGATTTGATCTTGAATTTCTAGGATTGACCTGACGTGTTTACACTTCAGTTCCTTCACCTGCTTTTCCTGAAGTCTGCAATAAAATACATGTATTTGTTGATAAAAGCATCACCTGAGAGTGCTTCTTTCACTCACTAATCCCCACAAACTGACCCCTGTAAGAATTATAAGGGCTATGGATTTTGTGAAGTTTATCAGAAATCTTATCTGATAGAATCCTGAGAATGAGAGAATTCTGAAATCCTAAGAAAATTAGAGTGACATTAAGTGATTATACTACAATGAAAATTACATTTGATTTTGTGATTAAGCTTTTCACCACTAGTTCCCTCTCTTTATCACAATTTCACAAAATAGTCCCACTTATAGTCTGCACTTTCTTTCAGAAGACTAGGACAAAAATAGCCCAAATTTTTAGGTAAACTGAAAATTGACTCAATTTTTGTCTGTTGGCTCCAAAATTAGGGTTCATTTTCAGAAATATTGAAGAATACAAGAAAAAAGTGCAAAAAAACTTGGGCGAGGAAGTCTGGTGGGGAAAAGGTTAAACACCATGAGTTTCAGTGCACAACTATTCAAGTATGCGTTGCCAATCCAACTTTGAGGCTTTTGGAAAAGTTCACTAGTGAATTGAAGACTTATTTTTGTGTGACATAACTGGGTGAAAAATTGTATGCATTGCAAAAACAGTTTTAGCGCCAGAGTAAATTCTATGTAATATTTAACGTGTTTTATTGATAACTATTTGATGAAGGAATCAGAAATCAAGTGATTGCAGCTATGTGTGAAAAAAGGCTACTGATGCTACAACATTTTCTATCAATTAATTTTAAAAACCAGGTCAGATAGAACACCCTAACTGTTGTCCCTCTGTTCTGATCTGATCTGCTCGAAATGGTACAAGACCATCCCCTCAAAAGCTAAACAGACTGATACTGTTGAAGGTCTGTTGAACTTACTTGATTACAATTTCTAAGGCTTGACCCAATGATACTGGTTTGGTGTGCATATAATTAAAATCCATTTGATGTGACAGATACGATGTGCCCTCTAACAGTCTGTTGAATTCTCTTTCCACCATCTCGTCTTTCTCTTTTGGCACCTACATATAGATTGAGAAGTCAGCAAGGTAATCTTACAAGCATGGCATTTGGATGTTTGGTCATATTCACAGTGTTTAATTTCACAGATTATCCAGTTTATGTATATGTGACTTCACATATCAACGAGGAATAGCAAATTAAAACCCAGCGATTAGTAAATGTGCCTACAGTATTACAAGAACAACCATAGGAATGGAAATCCCAAAGGTTGCAATTGAAAAAAACAAGACAAAATGGTGACACAAACTTCCACAAACAAAAACAAATTTGAAATCAGGTTTTTCTGAACTACAAAGACTCATACCATGAAAATTCCATAAATTGGCTTCCACCTAATTATTAGTATTTTTTTTTTCATAAGCAAATATATCAATGTACATGTATAATAAAATTCTATTAACATTACAATGATATGCAAATGTTTGTATTGTTATGTAAATCATCATATTATTACAATCGTTTGATACACAGCCCTATTATACGAAGATTGAATAACCACTCAAGCAAAAAGTCAAGCAGCAAAGATGGATCACTGATAAAACAAGCGCAGAACCTAAGCAATATCTGTATACCAGTGAATTGCCTCTATATGCATTGAATGAATGCACTAAGCTATGTTATGGCAGAATGCAGCATTAAAAAGGGAGTTAACTGCTATACATGATGAAGGGAATATACAAGCAACACATTCTCAAAGCCTTGACTGATTACTGCCATTGTTTGCGTGTCCAGAATCACTCTCTACCACAGGCGACATTTTATGTACGCTATATTACTCAGTTTTGTTATTTAATTTATTTATATATTTTATATGAAAACATTACATCAAGCCAAAATTCAACATCAAAGCAAACATTACCAAACACAAAAAAAAAAAACAGCCGCTCTTGAAACCGAGCAATATCCATACTTTCTGAAGAACGTTCAGTGTGAGTAATGTTTGAATATGATTAGCAGTGTACCGGTAATTCTATCAAAAGACAAAAAATATAAGAAAACAAAATAAATGCTTTTTTCTGGTTAGGTCATAATATGGTTATCTTTTTACTGTTTTGAGTATCACTATAGATGTTCATGTGCTCGACACACACACACACACACACACACACACACACACACACACACACACACACACACACACACACACACACACACACATACATACATGTTTAAAACATGAAAATTTAAATATTCAAATTCACTCATGGCAGAGACTGATTCAGCAATTGCAGTTGATGCTCAGAGAATGCAAACAATATAATAATCACAACCCCAGCACTGAATAAAGCATATGGAATGCACCATAATCTCTAACTCTTTTACAGAAAACTTTGACACAGGAGTTGCAGTATGAATAAGCCTGTATTATATTTTTTTTTAGGATGATCAGAAACAATTCGGACAATTTTTACTTCAAAATGAGAGCAATAGACACATTTTGAGTCGTATATATGGTGACATATTTACAGAAAAAGAAACAAATTGCAATGAATTACAAGTTTTTAGATGGGATTATTCAAGGTATCTTTCATTGAACTACAACATGAAAGTAAAGACTGTATACAGTCCATGATGAAAGATTATCAGTGATTTCTATTTCAACATAGTCTACTCCTCAGTACACCAGCGGAAGAGCACTGTCTTCCATCATACAATGTAAAAAAAAAGAGAAAAAAAAGAGGGCCATTAATATGCAATTAGTTGTTATTATTAAATTAACAGGATTGGCACAGCAAAATACATGTAAGGATTCTTGCTTTCAAAAATGTGAATTCTAATTTTATGCCATAAAATCATGTCAACAACCATTGAAATCTGATGTTGATGGAGGGTAGGTTTGCTTGTCTACACCACTTCCAAATACATCTGACCAATGAAATCAGACTTCAAAAATCATGTAACTAATCAGAAGTTGTGTTACAGAGCATGGTCTACTGAGACTTTCTAGAATTAGATGACAAATTCCGTCAGAAGAGAGTAGTAGTTTAAGATAACATGTACTGGCGACCAGAATATTGGCTACCAATCTACCTATCGCAGTATTTGAATGCAAAATTAACTTGTGTTATGGAAGGATGTATAATTCTAAAACAGATACTAGTAATAGTGTTGAGCACGCCCCCACCTCCACAAAGCTTGGAATGCGTTAAGCTGCAGCATTACATAATGTTACATGAAGCTGGAATCAAGCGTTACTGGTGAAAGCAAGAACATCTGTCTTTGGATCAGTCAGATCATAGAGTCAATCAAGAATAAAAAAGATTTGTTTTTTCTAAGAGTAAAGCAGTTTATGATACAGTAGGGGTTTATTTTTTTTATGGTGCGCTGAATGTGGACAGAATTGTGTACTTACATTCAGAGAGGATTGTTTGCGCGAGATCCCAGCGTTCATAACATTATGTAAAGTCTGTTTAAGATAGAAGTAAAAATAATGCCACTTTCCATCGTGTGACTTTACATGGTGAAAAATGTACAAGACATAGAAGGGAACACAACACACAATTTAAATTCTGTGAATTTTCATTCATTGTGGTTGTGATCAAAATAGGCATGTTCAATCAAACAATTAGTGATCAAAGTTAGTAATTTAAACAAAAACAATTTCAAAATTCTTGACTGAATATGCACAAGCAAATTTTCTGTACATAATACAGAAAATGCTATAGTTCTGAATAGAGTGTTGGTCTTAAGAAACAATAGCCTGGACTGTAAGGGGTTAAGTCAAAACAGTATAAGAATAACATCTGATCTGATGAAAATACCCTAAGATTATTTTGGCTTTCAAAGGGTGATAGTCTGCGCGAAAAATATATGGGTCTCGTATAAACAAAGATGGCGACTTTGACTGCAGTGCAGATCATTGAGTACAAACTGAGATGTTACCAAGCTTTAATTACCGGTAAATACTTTTAGGTGATTGGAAGGTATCGAAGGAGTCATTGGCAATAATTAGTGCAAGTATCGCCTAGTTCAAACCTCATACTTCTGATTTCCATTAGAATAGCGAATTGAATTGTGGGAAAATCTTTATCAACACAAATTTTGCACATGCATATGCGCAGCGCGACGCAACGACTACCGTCCTTTAAAGCAGTTCAAGTCAAATTCAAATTTCGCAATACTTAGCATGTTACTGCACATGTATATGCAATGCATAATAGCGACTCGCTAAATTATGTCATTTGTTTGAAATCATTTGACAATGTTAGATTTCATATAAATAATAATATACAACTTTTTCATCCCATGTCACTGTGCAAAATTTTGAGATTATAAATATATATGTCACCTCTTGACAAATTAATTCATAGGTTTAAATTGAGTTTCTCAAAATGCATCAAGTTTTTATTCCTCGATAACACTCAGTCAAAAATTCACAAACGTGTATTTGTCTTACATATTTTTGTATGGTTTTGTAACATTAAATTGCAAGATCAGTGTATTTAATTAACTTTAAGGCAAACTTGAAAATAGTCATGTCACATTCAAGTAAACAACAGACTGACCAATAAGCATACGGATCAGGCAAATAAGTAACAAACATGACAGTTTGTCCTTCTTACCATCGGGGTCTGGGAATACGTAGCATTGGAAGAACATAAAAATGCACAAATAGCCTTGATCGAAGAACACATTCAAAAACATAGACAGCATAATGGAAGACTGTTCCCTGCTTATCATGTTGTTCAGTTCGTGGCTATATATAGCATACTGTAACCCAGTCAAGTGAAACAATACACCAGACTACATGGTAAATATCTAGCTGCCACAGAGATGATATATTAATGAAATAAATATCACAACTTCATACATGATTGTATTGAGGTTTTCTGAATGTGCAGTTTTCCATTCTCTTTATCAAATAATTTTTTATTTCGCCCTATCAAACTTAACTGATTTTGATTAATTCAAAAGTGCAACTGTACCTTCTCCTTATTTTCTACACAAATATATGACAAATATATAAAGACCACCTGTCTATAAAGACAATTTTAATGAAGTCACTCGGTAGTCACTATCTACAAGTCTGATTGTAATAATACCTCTATCTCTAAAATATGAATAAACTCATACATACAACAAGTTTTACCATAAATAGAAGACAATTAAAAAGAAAACAAGATTGTAATTTCTAAGAATCAAGAAGAAGACAATAACGAGGTGAAAAACAAAAATATGGATAGAAGTAAATAAAATATTTGTTAGTTTAAATTGAATACGTACTAGAACACTTTGTCCACTCTTCGTTATGGTCCATGAAATTACAGATAGACATTAGGTGAATAACAGCAAAGAGTATCCATTAATATGAAATAAATAAAAAATATACAACACATAAACATGAATTTCAAATGTATTTAGCAATCATAAATACAGTATTTGCTCTATTAGTAGCACATGTTCTTATGTTTATGACAGAGGTACGTTTGTGGTTAAAATGAGATATCAACACCTTGCTTGCTGACTTGCAGCACTGCATCATGGGATTTATAGTCTCAAGACTAAAAATGACTTAGGCTGTGAGCATCATTTTTCGCAAGAAAGAAAACGCGATTTCTCGCGAACGCCGTGCTTGTTTTAATTGACACATTGTCAAAGGCCTTCAAATTAAAATAAGAGACAATACAACTTTAATACTTGGTAGTCGAGCATATAATAATTACAATTTCTGACTTGTGTGCACTACTATTGAAGCAAATACCTTAGAGCATATGCAGAGCAATGAGAGTTAAAGACCACATGCAGATACTTGAAACTGTATGCAACAGGGTTTAGCAATGTACAAGATAGATGATTACATGAATGCTGGGTCTAATCAAGGGATAAAGCAGGAGTCATAATTCCTGGGACAATGACAACCACTCTGAAATGATATGAAAATACTCTGTAAAATCAAGACCATGTATTGTATTTATATACAAAAACAGACAGACATATAGACTCACAAGTTGAAGTTGTTTTGTGATAGTATACAGGCAAATATGTGTAAATGCTTTGATGATCATTCATCATAGTGTGCAATGTATATACAGCAGATGAAAATCAAAACAGAAGGCACAGGAAAAAGTACCAGCAAGATGTCTGGGAAAGTACAACTCAATGAGGAATTAAGGAACAGAAGTTGAATTCTGAAAGTATGTACACAATTTTATATTTTTTTAAATGACTTTAGCACACATGAAAATGTACTGTAGAGAAGAATAATATTCACTGGGTTTTTCAGATATTATATTGCAGTGATATTCACTGGTCTATAGTATACAGTCTATACAGTCTATAGTAAAATTTGCATGTTCACTGTGATTTACAAACATATTTAGCACATCTGGGAGTACCAACTTATACTTTCAGCAGTAGAGACTTCTACTCAACATTTTTAAGAAACCCTTGGTATTAGTATTAGGCATATTCCTATTCCTATTAGGCGTATTTGTGTTAGATCTGCTCAAGATATTACATACCCGTAGTATCAAAGCCTAACATTCCAAACACTTCTAATAACCAAAAATATTTTGACAAAACCAGGTAACCAGTCCTAGCTACATGTACTGGCAATGTAATTTACAGTGAATTAATTTTGTACAAAATACAACAGTATTGTTTCTATTATCACAAGATTATGAGCATTTGTTTGAGGTAAAACACAATAGGCATGAACAAATACTGAAATCACTTGATGTATACCTTTAATTGAACGTAATATATACAACTTATCACTCACAGTGACAAACATTACTATAAAGTGCATGAGTAGTCACATAGAACTCTCATCTATTATCTACATTGAGATGGAGATCACTTAAAACAGACAAGCTTTTCTACATCTATCACAAAGAAGGATGATTAGATGGCTTCCATGATATTCACTAAGTAGGTGTATCAATACATAACTATATGTTGTTTGTGATGTCTGAGATTAAATTGTAATATTACCATCAAGGAACTGAGTCATTTCAAACTGCATTCATGATGTAGTATGAGTGATGAGGTAGGTAGCATGTTTGTCTGCTGTCATGAATTTCTAATCCTGTGTTTCATGTTGTAATACGTGTTTGCTAGTACAATTATTGAATTGCTTTTCATTCATGTTTCCCTGATTTGCCATTAACAGAAAGTCAACCACTGCACAACCAGAAATCAATTTTTTTACAAAGATAACAAAAATAATTACTCTTATATACTTTGCAATCAGTATCTTTATAGACAAAGTATAACCAAACCCACACTTTGCATCATAGTTGATGTTATGTAAATTTGCCATGTGAGGCAATTTGCTGAGATTGATTGCTAGAATATAAATGGCAGAGATAAGTATAAAGATAGTAGATAGTTTTTTTTGAAACTTACCGTGCACCCATTGCTTTCATACAGTGGACATTTCTGTCTAATTTTATGTAGTTCCATATTGACTTGCTTGCTAACAATAGTGATGGGATTTCCACCTAAATACATCAAATTCAAACAACAAAATAGGTGTCATTAAATGCAATGGAGTGTAACAGCCCCATAGATTTTTAAAGACATAATCCAATCAGATTTACTGTATAACGTACTACTTTCAAACTATGCATATACATGTATACACAGAACAAAACTCATAATTCTTAAGAATACAATAATATGTTAACTCAAGATACATGTAGTGTTGGTTTATTCAGTGGTAATTATTATCATTAAGAAACGAGTGATATTTTATCGCATTTAAGAACAGGCTCAGAAATACATTTGGATTTTGCTCTGTGGTTACATTTGTATTAATTGCAGGATAATTAAATAAAAAAAAAAAAAATAGTTTTCAAAAAACACATGCAAATGCTTACCTAAACCTGTGACCACCATAGCGCCAAGATCAGCAACATAGGTACCTTTGCGAAAAGTAGCCACTCTGCCACCAACGCGGTCCTAGAACGATAACAGAAAAAAATTATAATTTTTTTTAAGGTAATTGGTGTAAGCATAAAACATAAACAACAAAAGTGTCATACTTGAGATTATTACACTCATAAGCTTGACAGAATTGATATTAGCAGCAACACAAAAATCATTGACGATCGATATCCTGAACACTTATAGTATCAATGTCTATGTTTACTCAATGTAAATGGCCTATTGATTAAATGCAGTTGTTAAATGTGTTGCATACACAACATTAGACACAATAAACAACTGCATTTAATCAACAGGATGGTTGGTTACAGGAAGTGAATATATGACTGTTTACACTAACAATTTAAAAAAATTATTTTTCCCCAAATCGCAAATCTTTGAAAAGCGAGGTTAGTAATTTAATGTTATCCAATATAAACACAAACTACAGAACATCATCAAGTTACCTATTTTAGTGATTGAATATAAAACACTGTAAAATGACTAATTTTCACTGATTTAGCATTTCAGGCATATTCAGTGGGTTTTAAATTCACGATTTTATCACTTAAATAATGTGTTCTAAGCTCAATTTTACATATTCACTGGATTTTAATTTAACGCATTTTCCAGTCAGCAAAATAAGCAAAAAACCCAGTGAATAATTACAGTAGTTTTTAGTCAACAGTTTGGCACATATACCATTGATGTTGATCAATCATATGTTACTGATTACTCATAGCACACTTTTGAACATAAAGTAAAAACTTCTACCAGGCATATCACTGAATGTTACAATTGTAAAAGAAGAGAACCTACCCGTGCTTCTAACACTGTCACATCCATCCCAAAAGCTTGTAACTGTCTAGCTGCGGCAAGACCTGATATACCCGCACCAAGAATTAAAACTTTACCTATTTTTTTAACTGCATATGAAAGATACAAAAGTTAGTAGCATGTTCATTACCAATCTAGAATCCAATATCAACCATCACACATTTGAAAAATTAATATTTACAGTATGTCACTGGGGTAAGAACTGTGAACTAATAAGACTTTAGAAATTAAAACAATGATTTCAATAATTTGCACAGACTGACCCATGCTTGAAACGGAGGTTTACGTGGAAGGAATCGCGTGAAACTGCAGTGTCTGTGTCAAATATGCATTGTAACCAAATCAAGTGATAATCTACATAAATAGTTCAATCAACTGTAGTTTTTGTTCAGTATTACAGTAGGCCATGTACCAAAAACTATCTTGGCATGTGGGAACTGTGGAAAAACTGCCAAAAAATGCATGTGATTCTTTGCCTGGGTCCATAGCACTAAGAGCCAAATGATTTCCAAGACTTTTCCAGACATTTTCCCAAACTTTCTTGCATTTTCCCCCAAGATATTTTGACCCTTAATTAAGGCCAACATCATCACCAAAGCTCATCAAAATTCTGAGGATATGGTAGTTCCCTGGAGAAAACGGGCCTTTCTAATGTGAATTGATAACTATGAAGAAATTTAAAGACTTTTCAAAGATTTTTTTATTTTCAAAGGATTTTCCCAACACTATGGACTCGATTGAACTATGGTTCGCGATTGGCAACTCAATGCTACATTTTGTCACATATTACACAGACTCTGACTGGGTGCATGCTTTAGAGGGGCCTCCATTCAGATCTATGCATTTCATCACGCTAAAATATGCGACTTCTCGGCAGAGTATGTGCACAATGAAATTATAAAAAACATGTGATTCGGACGATGCTTGCTGGCATGAGACAAATGTCCTGACATAGAACAGTCAATAGATTGGAGACTGATCAGTAATGACAGACAAAATTACATGAGTTATTTGAAAGGATTTGAAAGGATTACCTGGCAGTGGTTTCAGTCTCTTATAGACACCAAAGTTAATGTAACCATGTCTTTCTAGATAAGCATGAATACGCATAACTAAAGGACCATCACCTGAAATACAAACGCATAAACATCAAAATGCAGTACGTCACAATAACTGTGATTCACATGTATATTAATTACTAAGATGGAATTAATTTCTTATAAAACTATAATTTATTTTGACCAATTCAAAAAAAAAAATACTTGCAAATAAAAACTAATTTTTAATTACTTGAAATTCGGTGTGTAGTTTAAGTTTGTTGAGACAATAACTAGATTAGATTATTAGTGGATTTGGGAATTCCATACAAAATACAATTTCACTATTTTCACTAATAAATAAATTCTACTAGATTTAATCAATGTGAACATGTTGAACAAAAATAGTTATTGTTTTCTTGCCAAGTTAGTGAAACTCAAAACCCAGTGAAGTCGCTCAAAGCATCAAAATGATTAAAGTAACCTTTTCACTACCAGTTCCATATTTTCATCAAAAATTTCACAAAATAGTCCTGTTTAGAGTTTGAACTTCCCTTCAGATTTTTTTTGATTAAAAACTGAAAATTTACTCAAATTTTGTCTGTTGGTTCGAAAAAATCAGGGTTCATTTCCAGAAATATTGAAGAATATAAGAAAAAAGTGCATAATAATTTTGGTGCAAAAATCTGGTGGTGAAAAAGTTAAATGCCAGTTAAAATAATTGGTTTTACAATATCTGATGATTGTACACACTAATGAATGTAAAATACGAGTGTAAAAACAGGCATCACACTAGAATGAAGAGTTTTATTTACTTACTGTTATATGGTGCTTCAATTTGAGGTAGTGAGTTTTCAAATGTAACTTGAACTTTAGGATTCTCAAACCAAAGTTGTAGCTGTAAATAAATGCATAAAACAACAGTGAGTAATCATGGGGAAAATATTGTTCATAGACTACACTTGACTGACAGACAGAGATCAAAATTAACAGTACCGGTAGCTCTTGGCAAACCAAATCTCATCCTAGGGCTACCATTTTGCAAAATTAGTAGCCCAACTGTTTTTTTTTTAAATAAACCAATTAGTTTTCAAAACATACAAATTGAGCAATGTGACATGCATTTATTTTTATTTACACTTTTCTACATGGCTACAAGCAGGGATCTAGCCAGCCCAATGGGAGTACTGGTAGCTCATGAATATTAATGAGCTTGGTCACACATTTCCTGTGGGACTACAAAATATTACCATGGAACTACTATCGGTAGATTGCAAAATTGGTAGCTTGGTTGATTTCCAAGAAATTGTGGACAGGGTTTTAACTTGAGAGCACCAACTTTTTAGAAATTCCAAATTCAAAAAAATGTCCATTTTGAGGAAACCAAAAATTTAGTTGACATCTCTAATAATTGGACTTTATGGCCTCTATGAATTTCAAACTTATTGTTATTCTGATCTTCGCAGCTGGGGAAAAATCCAAAGTTTCCAGGTTATCGTTGAGGGTATAACCAAGGAACTCAAATAAATGTTCCAACATAACTTGTTGAATCATGAACATGTTTGTTACAACACATGAAAATGAACAACAGAAATAGTGGAAATAAAGACCTGCCTATTGTCACAGACAGGCAAATTTCAGCTGAAACAGGTAAATTCAAATAGGGAACGGTGAATAAGGATATCTTTTAATAAAGAAATCACAATTCGCAATGCTGTCAACAATTTGTCAGGAACAAGTTGTTCATTATCAATTGTGAAAGGCACTTTTATTCTCTAACCTAGCCAATAAACAAAGCAATTTTAGTATCAGCACCTGAACAGTGTGACACTAAAGACAATCAGAATATGTAGAAGTTCATTTATATCCCAAAATACAGCTTACCAAACGGTTTCTGATATAAAGGAATAGTTTCTGTGTTTGAGGTGGGCTCTGAACAATGTCGGGAAAACATGCAGCTTCCTGAGATGTCATCTTGTCACTTGGCAATCTAGCAGAGAAAGCAGCTCCATCTAAACCTGTGTAAACGATATAAAAGAGAAATTATTTTAGAAAATGGTTAAAATAGTATACATTTGTACTGATGAATAATATTTCGAAGATAGACGGATAAAAAAAAACTTTTTAAGCAAGTTAGACCATAAGAATTCTAAAAAATTACAACATCAAAGAAATAATGTCTAGTTTGAAACATACTCTTCATCTACAGCTAAGTTTTAAATCTTTTTACAAAAATCACAGCAACTACAAATAGATCCTTCTCAGAGTACAATTTTAAAATGGAGACCGGCAATTCCTCCAGTCCACCATGTTTTTGTGGGACACCACTGTATACATTGTTCATATCAATCCATCTTGTTTCCATGCACCCTCTTACCCCCTGGGGAGCAGATTCTCTGGCAACCATAACATTGACCATTGACTCAGGGATCACATGTGGCCACAGTCTTCAACTCTGACCTGTCTGATAGTAATTTTGGTCCCAAAGAAGCCATAGAATGCTCCATTTTAACTTAGAATTATCAAAAACTCCACACCCTGGTAGAGAGAACCCCATCTCTCCCAATTGGTGGCGCCGCTGAATTGCAGTACGGTACTCCCTCTTGCAGTTTTTTTTCCCAGAAATATAACCTGTATTGGTGTTGTATTTAGTGTTTGTGTATTTTGACCTTTTGTCAGACAATTTATAATCATAATTGTGGCATAATATCACTGCTTTAATATTCATAATCAAAAAGTAGTTATACAGAGTAGTTATTTTACCTGTTATACCAAGCTGACTAATTGGTTCTTCTGGTTCACTCTCAACTTCTTCCTCTTCAGGAGGTTTAGGTGGTTCTGGTACTGGTGTTGGCGTTGGCTGCTTTGATATTTTCTCTTCCTCTGAGAAATACTCATCTTCTGAGAGATTTGCCAGTTTATCATCCATTTCTTTGTACTCCACCTGTTGACATAAACATGCAAAGTTAACCATGAAGAAGACAACTTTTATTCAGTACTATTTCATTTTCAAGAATTGTATTACAATTTTCGTGTAGCTACCAGTAGTTGTAAAAAAAAAAAATTTATAATATATTCTGTGAACGAAGGATGACAATGTATTCTGTGATTGAATGGGAACCCCCCCCCCCCCAATATTAGGAGTGAGAATAGAGTAGACATAAAACAACACAATCTCTGTATTGCTTTCCTCTTTTTTATTTTGTTTTCAGAAAAACTAATACTTGTTTGGTGGGGGGTAACTGTTTTTTCAGTATACTACAAGTGCTGGCGATACATAATATAGTAAAATTTACCATAAGAAGTACTGTCCCAATACCTTGTATCTCAGACATTGTTGCATGGGTAATCATCATAAAAGTAAATGTAGTCTTTAATTTGTGGTCAAATGTTTCATTCTGTATGACATCACAGGGGCCCAAAATTAGCAACATTTCCTGGACAAGCCGGCTGTTGGAAGTTATTTATACTAGCAGTCTGAGTTTATATTGGGTGGTCCATTGGGTAGGGTAGAAAAATGCCATGCAAACATGTGTGAGCATGAATAAATGTAGCTCTGCTTCACAAGTTCTAATCTATGTCTGGCAGGATACATACCGGTCGGTGCATAATTATAATAAAAATTTATACCATGCATGGTTATTTGGTAGTAGGCTATGACTGCGAGATCCCGCTTTACGCATACAATCGAACGAGAAAAACAGAACAAACAAAGGTCATAGCGTCGTAGTCGCGTCAAACATCGCGTGGGATTCGACACACGCGAAAGTATTTTGGGGACATTTCCATGCTTAATAGTCAACCATGTCAAAAGAGACTAAATTAAATGATAGTGGTCACCCATTATAAGTTCTATCTAGCCTAGTACTTCAAAGACGTTTGCACTTTGTAAACTGGTTCCGCCCATGAACAACAAAACACTTCAATAGTCAAGCTATCATTCACAGTTAACAAAGACATCATACATTGGAATTAAATAAAATATGAAAGGCCTGCTTTTGCCTACATGTTTGCTGTCTGTGTTGATCCCTATAGCAGCTGTTGACAATTAGCATATAGGAACACATGTCTATAGAATGACTTTAAAATTATTGCATTAGATATTATAAAATACAAGTTGACTTGAGAAGCAATGGTAAAGGTCATATGCCAATGTCATTCGTAAATTACAATTCTAAATTGCTCGACACTTGTACATGTAAACAGAATTATCATTCATTTCAAAAAATGAATGTTGTGCATATGCAAATTAGCTATGATGCTTTTGAAACCTTGGATGTAAAATAAATCCATGGAGCAATCAATGCATTTTCTTTTTGTTTTTGAAGACAAATGTGATAAAACCTATGTAGACGACTACACACCCCTCTAAATTTGCTCAAAGTTCAGGCCATAAATAGGTTATAATTAATCACATCATATTCTTGAAATTGCAAAACAAACTATTCAATTAATTTTAATTAGTTAATTATATAAATCTTATCATGGAACGTGGTTTATAGTTCCATGATCTTATCAATTCATTTTGAGAGATAGATATAAACTAAAGGTTTATTGTAAATTGATTGATGGGTTAAAGCGAGATTAAATACACACATGCATGTAAGTAACAAAAAGTGCCCAGCATTTCTGTTATTTTCTGCACCTGCCGAAATCACTGAATAGGAAATGTATTTTTCTTTCCTGAAATGTAACTCAATTCACAACAGCTATCAAAGAACTTCAAAAAAACATCTGCTTCATATAAAGCAATATATGATATTAAATAATAAACTGTATTAACCAGACAGGATCAAGAAATGTAGTTAACATGCAAGTTGTCACGTTGCATCAAACATTAGAACCTTTTGTTGACGGTTTTATTATTCTAGTAGGATCTAAAAATTAAAACACTGAAATGCAACTGCGCGAACTAAAAATATCACAGCACAAATAGCACCAACTTAACAAGGAAATCTGAAGCCAATATCAATGTGACCTTGAATTTATATATTAAAAGAAACATGGGTAATTTTCAGGTTTTTTTTTTAACATTTTTTTAAAACCTGTCAGCAAAGTAAATTGAAGCATTGATTCGAAGTGAATTTCTTAATGTGCTGAAATTTTTAAAAATTAAAGAGGATGATTTTATTTAATTTTACGCTTTCCAATTTATGTGTGAGTGAACAAAAATGTGTCTGTTCATTTAATGAACAGTATGGTTTTCTGTTTTAGTTCACTGGTTTTGAGGATTTTTTCCCCCTAATTTCAGCATTTTTTGGCAACAAGCTAAATATCCAAGTTGGTTATGAAATGGTCCAAAAACCATGAACCAGCAAAATAACAGCTATAATTATCTATTAATGAATAAGGGAAATCATAATTTATCCTTTAAATATTCAAAAGACGAATGAAGGCAGGATATCCTTTGATGAAATGTTCATGACCTCGGCACCAGGTGTACAACCAAATGTAGTACAAACATTGACATTTAAACACACCCGTGGTCTTTTCCGCCGACTTTGTCGTCGTTCTGGATTTTCTGATCCATTGGACTGTTCACCACCCGATGCCGAATTCGACGAAGTACCGTGTTGGTGGTGACCAGGCATTCCCTGCGGTAAAATGCCGACTGGTATGATCATTTCTTTGTTGTCCTTGGGACTTCTGTCTCGTTTTCTACCGGTCTCATCTCCACTCGAGTTTGAGGAATGCGCGCTGTCTCTATCCCTTCGCTCCATAACTGTGTCCTGTTGGTTTGATAAATCCAGAATGGAAACAAAAGTGTCCCGAATTTTGCAAACTTCTGAGAAAACAAGGACGTCTCGCCAAAGACATGCATCAACAAAGAATGACTGATTATAATGTACTGCGCATGTTTCTGCGCATTGCCTTCCCAGAATGAAAGTTTGGCAAATACTCCATATTTATGGGGTATCAAATATATTTGACCATTTAGACGCTATCCTAGGAGCATAAATAATCCAACTCATCCAATTAATTGAATAACTGTTGATTTGAAATTTCCAAAACAGCAAAAAATCTACCTAGTCCGTAAATTATACCGCAAAGAATTATGGGTAAATCGAAATGATTTGATTAGATCAAAATCAAAATCCGCCATCTTGTCTTTTCTCGTCTAATCACGAGATTTCATGATTTGATATTTTGGGCGGTAATTCTCTTTTTTGTAAGAAGTGACTGATTTTTACAGAGCAATGGAAATGCATGATGCTTCCGGGGCGCTGCCATTTGATATTCGTAAGGTAAAACACACAAATGTATAGGTGTTCTTCGCTCATGACTGTCGACTGCTTGTTGAGAGTTTCTTTTGTCTCTATCATTGTCATCGATTTGTTCTTATTTGAATGGACTCTTGTAAGAGCATCTGACTTCAGAGCATATAGGAAAAATTTTCTATAGTTTTTTGAAAACAAACACAGTTTAGATGACTTTCTCGGGACAAAACAAACTGGCAGTCAAAACAGGGAATAGTTGTCAGTCTGCGTTTTATTATTTTTTTGTTTTGTTTTTTTCGTTGTTGTCGCTATTATTTTTTGAAACGTCACACTTTACCCCTATCGCTATTTTCACCAGTTAAATTTACTGTGTGTCGAGAAACTTACAACAAAGTACAATATGCAAATATGTTCGACATAATCCCCTGTCGATAATCCGTTCAGCTGGGGAAGAGCGCCATCACTCGTTAATCTTTTGAAAGTGTGGAGCAGAAAATTAAAAATTCAAGGTCGATTCAGATGCGTGAAACCATTGATATGAATCACTCTTTGAAACGTTCTTATTATTCACCGGAGGTGCAGCAAAGATATACATTCACGTCAAGGCAAAGAGAGGTATTACTGAAACATTTTAACAATGGAATGACTTGCCAGAGCCAAGCTTACCATGAAAAAATCATGACCTGTGCGAGAGAAGCTGAGGTAGACTTTGATATTGTGCGGGTGAGTTAAAATATTGTTGATATTGCTATTTCACATTTGACCAGGTGCTTTGTCAGGGTCAAGGCCTTTTTATATTGTATATTGTGATCTGCCAAATGAGTCAAATCACAATATGCGAATTCTACCTGTTAGAGTATAAGTATCTATGTTTATTTTTTGAAGGTCAAATTCCTCGACCCAGTTTTGAGATCATTACCATAATATATTAAATATCAATCTCAAGTTCTGTACCTTTCTTTATATATTTATAATATTACAAAGTCAAATTCAGGCTCTGGTATTTGTCCCAGTAGTCTTCATCATCACCTCAATACAGGTAGTGTTGGCTTCATATCCAGGGGTTTCATTAAGAGTCAACTACTATCTACTTGGCTTGTTCAGTCATATTTTTGAGACACACAACCTTTAGAAAAATGTCAAATTTAGGGCTAATTTTATAAATGTAGTTGCCTACCACACTACTGTAAAATACTTCATTTTAACTGGAATGAATTTTCGCTGAATAGGCTTTTTTGCTGTTTTGTACAAATTATTTTCACTGAATTTTAATGAGTTGAGTTGTATGTAAAACATAACAGTACTGGATTTAATTTTTTCTGATTCATGCAAAAATAGTGGAAATAAAGTACTTGGTACTTGGCAAAACTCTCTTTCATAGTGTTCATTCTTTCAATTGCAGGGATAACACTAGGATGACATACAAAATGATATGATCTATTGTTTTTGTTTTTTATTGTTCTTCTACATGTGCTTTATCAGCATGCAATCAAGCTCGGTTTTTTAAGGGCCTATAGTGGAAATATTGAGACAGTGCATTTTAGACCAGGGCTTGAACCTCATATTTGAAAGGGCCCCAGTTTTTAAGGCAAAAGGACATCTAGGCAAACAGCCTGGGCATTGAGGCAATTACCATTGATGACTCAAGTGAAGTTGCCCTGATAGACGCTATAATTATCCTGTAGGAAATAAAGGACAATATGAGCTGCCTGGAAAAGATGGAGATCATGTATGCAATAATAGGCAGTCAAGTCTGCTACTTAAAGCGATAATATTTCCAGTTGTCACATAATAATGGCAGTGTCACTTGGAGATGTTTATTTCAATTTATACCACTCCAAAATGCCCAAAAAATTTATATAACTGCAGTGTTGTGCTTGAGAAGAAAGAAATTGATAAAGTGCTTAGCATGTATTTCAGTTACATTTAGAATTTTCACAACTTCATGATATGCAAAAAGACACTCAAAGGTAATTTGGTGGATAATAATGAACGTGATTGTTGAATTTGAACTGCTTATGATTTGTATATTGTTTAAATGACGTATACAAATGTTGACAAATAAGAAGATGATGTTGCAGTACACTGTATTATAGAAAGAGGGCTATGATAAATGAAAATTATTATTTATTGTGTGCTGCACAATAAAAATAAGACCTAGTTTGACTATGGATATATTCTGTCATTTATGTAAGCACATGTATTACAAATTTTGAATTCTGTTTTTTATTTAACAGAATTGGATTGGGAATGTCCGCCGTAAAATGAGAATAGAGGCAAACAAGATGCAATCTCCATCAGGCGGCATGATGATGGGGGACAATTGTGAACCTAAACTTCCACGGCTTGAGGACTTGCAGAACCTTTTTGGTAACCAGCCTGCAAAACCTATGCAAGGAGCAATGTTAAGAACATCTGTTGGATTCTCCCCACCTCTCAGTCATCCGCCTCAACTTAGTATCCCTAGTATGAACTTACAAACACAGCTAGGAAACCATCAACAGCTGATACTTACGGAGGATTCTGCTGTCAGCATGGCAAATGCTGCTGCCGCTAACCCCGTGTTCAACGCTAAACCTTCTCCTCATCCAATGCAGATTACTAAAGTTGTATCAAACACAAACAATGAAAGAGACAGACCATCATCTTCATCTACTAGCTCCATGGTCAGTTCAGCAGCAGTTCATTCAGCAGGGCCACAGTCAACAGCACAAACTATTTTCTTTTCAAATGAGAAGGAAATTCGTGAAAATGATATTAGGCGAACGATGGGTAATATACAACAATCTGTAAGTATTTGTTTTGTCCCTTCCACTGTTGTGTGTTCTTGGGTTCTGTTGTGCAGTATTCAATACCATACCTTAACAAATCATTTACCATCACTGTTTCGCAATAAAGATACTGGTTTCGATAACTACTCTTTTTCAGTGTTAATATAATTTTTAAATTGTGCAAATCATGGAACATTAAGGAGTCAGTGATAATCACTGGGATGCAAGGCAAGCATAGTGACTTTCAATGAGATCCTAGGGAGTCACAGTGACTTTTACTGGGATTCTAGGGAGTCACATAAACTTTCATTGAGATCCTAGGGAGTCACATTGACATTCACTGGAATCCTAGGGAGTCACAGTGAATTTCACTGGGATCCTAAAGAGTCATAGTGACATTCACTGGGATCCTAGGGAGTCACAGTGGCATTCATTGGGGTTCTAGGGAGTCAGTGACTTTCACTGGGATTCTAGCGCATTATAGTGACATTCACTGGGTTCCTAGGGAGTCAGAGTGACTTTCACTTAGATCCTAGGGAGTTCGTGTCATTCACTGGGATCCTAAAGGGCTCATACCACTAATTGAATTTCCATAGATGACACTGTTAACATATGACGAGATTGCTATATGAAAATGATGAAGAAAGTTGAAAACATAGCTCAAAAATGGGAAATCAACATGCCAGTAATCAACCATATGAAAAAAACTAACATGTTGGCCAGCTCAAACTCTTACAAATCTCAGGTAAACAAGACACACCTACTGTATTTGGATTGCACCAAGAGAAATCACTGGAAAAACACCAAGATTAGAACATCCAAATACACACAGAATAAACCCACAGGTACACAGTCGCGAAGTAGTAAACAAAAAAAAACATGTTGGTCTTACCTTTGACCTAGGTGATTACGCCCTCAAACAGGGAGCACGTGAGAAAAAAAATATTTAAAAAATTTCATTGGTTCTTGCAAGGCATTTAAATTGAGCAGCTACAAGCAGCCATTGGTTGATTAGTGGCATGAGACCTAAACAGTCATAGTGATTTTCACAGGGTTCTTTGGAGTCAGAGTGACTTTATCAAAATTTTGCCCCCATGAATGCTCTCAAGTAAAAAATGTATGATTCATCTATGTAGTTACATGTATGCATCTCAGTGAATATAAAAAAATATACATTTGAACAATTTTAGTGACTTGATTTGAGGACAAGTCGCATGCTGTTCGCATAATGGAATCCCAATAGATTTCGGACTACAGCGACTCCTTACTGAGTTACGGCCGTCAGGATCCGAGCAAAAACCGAGACTTATTGAGGGTTGCGACTTACTGAGGGGTCTCGTTGAAGGGGTTTCATACATTGAAAAAAGATGAAAAGCACATATACACACAGGGATTTATTTATAGTAAGTTTTCTTTATGAAAACATCAAAGTGCCACAGTTTTATTGATATCTTCATTGTCAGATAATTTACAACTGCTAGATCACGTGCAACCCTTGACTTGGTTTCACCTTTCTTGACACAGTCGATCGTTGTGAGTTTTTTATGTACAAACAGACTGAACTAGAACTAGAGATCAGATATATCAAAGGGGGTCGGGTTGAGAAGTACGTAAAGTCGCGACTTTAACCCCCTACGAAACCAGGCGGACGTCACCCTTTGTATCTCAGTTATTGACAGACAGTAGATGTTAAGTTGGCTCCTCCAGGCCATTAAAAGCCAATTACTGATATAAACACGATGCAACAAAACATTAGTTCCTTTTACTTAAAAACTGTAGACAAAACACAATAGAATTTTTGGGAGTCCACCAATTACCCGTGACTTGTTGAGGCGCGACTTAACAAGGGATCACTGTACTTGTATGTGACATGCAAATTTTTAATTTAATTTCAATTCCCATTTCAATTCTTTTTAATGTACGTTTTCCTGGTTTTTTTTACTATTGCTTTTTAAATACCATAAGGGGAGAGTAGGAAATTAAACGGGCGGTTCACCGCGGTAATCACCGCGACTCTCCGCGGTACACTGGGGAGAGGCGCGAACTGCTTATAATTAAGGGTCTCTACCGCGTTGGCCACCGGTACTGGTTGCAACCGCGGTCGTAGGAAAGGTGTGAAATACGTACTTAACAGTTTCCTTTGTGATTCCATGAGTCTTTGTTTCAAATAGCTGTTTTTAAATCAAGCAGGTTACGAGCATCGCTGGCATGGAAATACTAAGCATATGGTAATATTATCGTAAATAACATTCTTTTCATGTGGTAGACTTTATTCAAGTGTAACAAACGTAAGTGAAATGTATGGACGAGTCATAATACTCGTACCTTCGAAAGTTACGACTTTTACTCTTGGAATTGGTGATAAATACATGCATAAAATACAATATTGTTTCACGCAACAACAATTCGTATATAGCATTGGACTTATGGATTTTTATATTAATAAAATACGTGAGCCGATAAACAAGAAATGGACGAACTAAAATGTCTCTTGTGTTTCATGTGCGACATGATTATTAAAAAAAAACAGATTTAAGCGGTCATGTATGTTCTATAAATCTAACCTCGCACACATAATCTTGTATTGACTTTATTTTTATTTTTTTGGTCAAAAACGACGTTGCCTTTCAGTTGACTCTTCGCGAGAGTTTATCGATTTTTTGAACAAATGTTAAGTAACTGTATCGTTTTGCGTCAAACTGGGTGGCCCAAATTTAAATTGAGGTCATTGCCCATTACCACACGTAATTCAAACACGTGGTTATTAGAGTTCAGTCGAAATGTACGCGAATAATGCGATCGAAGTGCGCTGCGAGTTTAATATAGAAAAATTTAACATTACATTACATATTCACTTTATTTCGAATAAAATAATTCACCGATGAGTCACAAGTATTTAAAATATTTTCTTGACTTTCGTTAGACACCTGACTCCGGGACCTGACTATCTTTTTCAATGATTTA